AAATTGATAAATCGAGAAATTGAACAATCAAAAGACCGAAATATCCGAATCACGACAAATCGAGATCTCAAAAAATTGAAAAATAGAAAATATATTTAAAAATTCGGAAAATTGGAAAATTAAAATATCGAAAAGTTGAAAATTTGGGAAAACGAAATATAAAACAGTCGAAAAGTTGAAAAATCTAAAGTTTAAAACACGAAAAACACAAATCCAGAAAATAAAAAATCGAAAAATCCAGAAGTTAAAAATCGAAAAGTCGTAGAATCAAAATATTGAAAAATCCCAAACCTGAAACAAATTTCCAAAAATTGAGAAATAAAAAAAACTGAAAAATCGAAAAACCATAAAAGCAAAGTCGAAAAATCGAAACATCGAGAAGTTGAGAAATGGGAAAATCAAATAGGGATTAATTGAGAAATCGGAAAACTGAATATTTAGCAAAGTCAAAATTTGAAAAAATGAAAAATAGAAATAATCCTGAAGAACTGAAGAATTAAAAAATCTAAAATTTAAAACATTCAACGATTAAAATATCGAAAATTGAAAAATGGAGAAATCCAAACATCAAAAAATAAAAATTCGAAAATTTAAAATTTAAAAATCGAAAAACTGAAAAATCAACAAATCGAGAAATCGAAACTCGGAAATTTTAATTGAAAAATCGGATAATTCAGAAATCGAAACATCGAAAAATCAAAAAGCCGAAAAGTAAAAAATCGAAAACCGACAAATCGAAAAATCGAAACATCGAGAAATTCAAAAACTGAGACATCGAGAAATCGAAAAAACAAAAGATCGAGGAGTCGAAAAACCGAAAAATTGAGAAACCGAAATAGGCTAAAATCGGAACATTAAAAATGGAAGTATTGATAAATCAAGAGATTGAACAATGAAAACATCGAAACATCCGAATCTTGATAAATCCAGATCTCAAAAAATTGAAAAATCGAAAATTTAAAAATTCGGAGAATTGAAAAATTAAAATATAGAACTGAAAACTCGAGAAACTGAAAAATCTAAAATTTTAAAAATTGAAAAATTAAAACATCCAAAAGATGAAAATTTGCGAAAACGAACTATAAAACAGTCGAAAAATTGAAAAATCTAAATTTAAAAAACGAAAAGCGGAAATCCAAAAAATTTAAATTTGAAAAATCGAAAAATCCAGAAGTCGAAAAAGCGAAAAGTCGGAGCATCAAAATATTGGAAAATCCCAAACCTGAAAGAAATTTCCAAAAATTGAGAAATTAAAAAAATGGAAAATTGAGAAATCAGAAAATTGAAAATTCCGAAAAGTCAAAATTTGAAAAATTAAAAAATATTGAACTGAAAAATCGGAAAGTCTAAAAATCTAAAATTTAAAACATTGAAAAATTAAAATATCTCAAAATTAAAAACTGGAGAAATCGAAACATCAAAAAATCAAAAAAAAAAATTCGAAAGTCTAAAACTTAAAAATTGAAAAACTGAAAAATCAACAAATCGAGAAATCGAAACTCGAAAATTTAAAAAATTGGAAAATTGAAAAATCGGATAACTGAAAAATCGAAACTTCGAAAAATCGGAAAATCGAAAAATTGAAAACCTCAAAAGCAAAAAATCGAAAAATTAGAGGATCGCCGAGAAGAAAAGTAAAAATTGAAAAATTGATAAATTCAGAATTTGAACAATCAAAACAGCGAAACATCTGAATCTCGATAAATCCAGATCTCAAAAAATTTAAAAATCGAAAATTTAAAAATTCGGGAAGTTGAAAAAAAAAATATAGAACTGAAAACTCCAGAAATTGAAAAATCTAAAATTTTAAAAAATTGAAAAATTAAAATATCGAAAAGTTGAAAATTTGAGAAAACGAAATATAAAAGAGTCGAAAAATTGAAAAATCCAAAGTTTAGAAAACGAAAATCCAAAAAATAAAAAATCGAAAAATCCAGAAGTCGAAAAACTGAAAAGTCGGAGAATCAAAATATTGGAAAATCCCAAACCTGAAAAAAAGATCAAAAAATTGAGAAATTAAAAAACTGGAAAATTGAGAAATCGAAAAACCAAAAAAACATGTCGAAAAATCGAAGAATTGAAAAACTGAAATATCAAAAAATTGAAAAATAGAAAAAAATTGAAGAATAGAAAAACTGAAAAATCACAAAATTGGACGAATATCCAAAAATTGGGATATTCAAATATTGGCAGGATCGGGAAATTGAAAAGCCAAAAAAGCAATCGAAAAATTGAAGAACTGAAAAATCGAAACTTTGAGAAGTCGAGAAATGGAAAAGTCAAAAAAATAGATTAGTTGAGAAAAAACTGAAAATTCAGAAAACTCAAAATTTGAAAAATTAAAAAATATTGAAGAACTGAAAAATCGAAAAACCTATAAGATTGAAAACATTGAAATTTTAAAATATCGTAAAAATAAAAAATCGAAAAATCCCAAACCTGAAAGAAATATAGAAAAATTGGGAAATTAAAAAAATGGAAAATGGAGAAATCGAAAAACCAAAAAGCAAAGTCGAAAAATTGAAGAATTGAAAAACTGAAAAATCGAAACTTCGAGAAGTTGAGAAATGGGAAAATCAAATATAGATTAGTTGAGAAATCGGAAAACTGAATATTTAGCAACGTCAAAATTTGAAAAATTGAAAAATAGAAATATGTACTGAAAAACTGAAAAATTAAAAAATTTAAAATTGAAAACTGACCGATTAAAATATCGCAAGTTGAAAAATGAAGAAATCCAAAAATCAAAAAATAAAAATTCGAAAATCCAAAATTCGGATTCAGAATTTAAAAAAATGAAAAATCGGATAACTGAAAAATCGAGACATCGAAAAATTGAAAAGCCCATACGTAAAAAATCAAAAACCCGAGAAATCCAAAACCGAAACATCGAAAAATTCAGAAACTGAGATATCGAGAATTCGAAAAATCAGAGGATCGAGAAATCATCGAGTGGAAAGCCGACAAAAAAGCTAAAAATTGAAAAATTGATAAATCGAGAAATTGAAAATCGAAACATTTGAATTCGATAAATCGAGAAATCAAAAAATTGAAAAATCGAAAAATTTTAAAAAAGAAAAATTGTAGAAATCGAAAATTAAAATAAAGATATGTGTAAAACCAACGATGACAGCGCAATATTACCAAATTTCCTGGAAAATCGGGTGTTTTTGAGTCATTCAAACAATGGATTATTAACGGCTTTTCTGCTATCGAGAACTCAATTTTGCATTGATACAAACTCATTATTCTAAGAAACCATAAACTCCGAACAGGGAGTGCTTACGCCCGCGACGCACCCCTAAAGAAAAACGCAAAAAAACTGACCGAAGTGATCCAGAAAATTCACCCCTAAAAAAGTAAGTCGAAATGTAAAAAAAATGTTGCCCATGGGTCAATCGAACCAGCAACCTTTGCGTTAGTAATTCAACACTTTTACGGTACGGCCACAGAAAGTCTGGATGTCGAGGGTAAAAAATCAAGGCGGATTCACAAACTACAAATATAAGAGTGTGTTATTTTATAAAATTAAAGTTGCTTTTACACGGGAATCCATTGATTAATATTAATACACCTTCAGAAATTATTGTTGGTCTATTACTTTTGATAGTAGCGATAGAAATTCTGATTTTAATGGTAATTACATAAAAAAATAAAATATAAAATTTTTCGAAAATTTTAAACACACAACTTGGTTGTCGTTTTAAATTCAATTTAAAATGTAAAGTTTTCTTTTTTCTGAAACAATTAAATTCACTTTTAGAACCGGCATTCACATTTGCTTAAATGTTTTATCCATCAAAGAGTCTTATTAAGTGGCCTACTTCCTTGAAATTATTCAAAATTGCTGAAAATTTGTAATAATTATTTTAATAACACCGTGTGAATTTTAAACATATATATTACATGAAAGACATAATTAAAACCCTACGCTATTAGTTTCATAATTATTTCCACAAAAATTAACAAGGCCATAAACGTGGGCCGAATAAATTGTGAAACAGATATTTCCTGAATTTCCGCTCATTCTGACTGACATTCCAATTATTTTGATTATAAATTTGCATTTAGCCTAAATATAGGTGAACGCATAATTTATCGTTTAGCAAGTATTCATTGTGGAACTCTTCATTTATTATTAAACAATTAACTTAATCGACACATTATTTTTATGCAAAACGACTTAAAAGATTGAAAACCCTTTCTAACGCTAAAAGCATTCTTCAAACCAATTTCTACTTTCGCTGCATCACATTTAAATTAATTTGAAATTGTAACTACTTAAATAAAGGTAAACATTTGTTCTGCCACAACAACAAAATAAATCGGTCATGGAAATCCGTCCATTATATCACTGTCACTCAACAACCCATTCTTAGAAAAACCAATCCAACCTTCAATTATTATCAGTCGAAGACAAAACTCCTGCACAGCGAACCACGTCGCTTTTTACACCGTACTGCCTCCAAATAATTATGCAACGGAACCATTGAGGCATTCTTGCTCATCGAATGTTAAGACACGCCACTATATCGAGCACATCCTCGGAGAAATTTCTAATTAAAATTACTACACCCTAGCAAGCGTCCAAACTGGAAGAGTGATTTTTCTTTTCGTTCCTTCCTGGTTGGGAGAAGTGGATCATAACAGAAACCTAGATGCGATTTCAGATAATTAGTTACGTACGGTGAACGTGGAAATACACATAATTTTTTCGAGCAAACTCCGTGATAGCTTTTAGATTACATGTCGTGAAAAATGGCGCCATTTACCGTCGCACGGTGCTTGGGCCCAGTGGTAACCTTATTCTCGTTACTGTGAACGGATATGGGGTTTTAATTTGGTAAAGAGGTGTAACGAGGAAAATTGTTGCTGCCCATTATCTTAATAATCGAGATGCAGCGGCTTCGCGTGCTATTTATTTGACGCGGTAGTTAACAATTAGTTTTACGTTATGGTTCTAGCGGGGATTTAAATTTAATTGGTGCGTTTTTTTGCAGGTTCGACGATGGCCCCAGTGTCAGAAATCGGAGGAATATGAAGATAAGACTAAAGCCGTAAATTTTTTAGTTTTTTCTTTTAAAGATGCGTTCTCCAGAACACAGGAACACTTATACGAATAGAACGGGCCAAAATTATGATAATGAGTTGTCTTCGCACTATAAACCCCCTGGAGCTTTCACAGTACTTCCACCTGACGATGATTCGCCTCAGGATCCTCCACATGCTCCGCAGCCATACAGGTAAATATTTCAAGAACAATAAACTTTGATGAGTTCTAAAATTTATAACTAGACATCCTAAAAGTCTCTTTTTCGCTTTTAGACAACGTTTCCAATTATTTGTTTTTGATTCGTTCCCTTACTATTATTTTTCTTTTTTTTAATAAATTTTGGCAGCCATAATACTCGAAATTTTGTTTTGTGTTGTGTTTTCATAGAGTACCTAAACCTAAACAATATTATATAGAAAATTCGTGTAGTACACAACATTCTTATATAATATTTTATCTACGAATAATTGAGCAAATCAGAATAAGTTTTGATTCTCTAACCACAGATTAGAATAAAGAAAATGGTTGCAACTAGCCACTAGAGCGTTCAAGATGATAATGTTTCTGGAGTAGTTCTTTCAAAAGGTAGTTCCTAACTTTTAGTATGTTTAAAACATACATTTGGTTGTTATTGGCTAATTTATTTAATTATTGGTTAATAATTTATTTTGTAATTCCAATTCAAAAGAAAGTATGATTGTGCTAAACCAATGAATTAAAAAAAAGCTCTATTCCAAAAAGCATTAATTAAAATTTTTTTGACGGTTGATTAAAGTTCTTGTATCATTTGCCAAAATCACTCTTACCTTAGTAAATACTAGCCCCGCCCACCCGCCCTCAGTTTTCTTATCGCGTATGACATTTGCCAAAATCAGTTTTATCTTGGCAAGTACTAGAACCCCCCCCCCCCCCATTTTCTCAGAGGGTATGTTATTTGCCAAAATAAATCTTATCTTAGCAAGTACTAGCCGCATTTACCCGCCCTCTATTTTCTTAAAAGATATGTCATTTGCCAAAATGCTAGTATTTGCTAAGATAAGACTGATTTTGGCATATAATATAATCCTCTGAGAAAATATGGGGTGGGTGGGCGGGGTTAGTACTTTCTAAGATAAAACTGATTTTGGCAAATGACATATCCTCTGAGAAAATACTTGCCCACCCGCCCCCTCTTTTCTCAGAGGGTATATTATTTGCAAAAATAAATCTTATCTTAGCAAGTACTAACCCCGCCCACCCGCCCCCTGTTTTCTCAGAGGATACGTGATTTGCCAAAATAATTGTTATCTTAGCAATTACTAGCGCCGCCCACCCGCCCTCTATTTTCTTCAAAGGTATATCATTTGCCAAAATGCTAGTATTTGCTAAGATACGACCGATTTTGGCGAATGACATAATCCTCTGAGAAAATAGGGGGTGGGTGGGCGGTGCTAGTATTGCTAAGATAAAACTGCTTTTGGCAGATGCCATACCCTCCAAGAAAACTGAGGGCGGGTGGGTGGGACTAGTCCTTGCTAAGATAAGACTAATTTTGGCAAATGACATACCCTCTGAGAAAATACTTGCTAAAGCACGCACTAGCCCCGCCCACCCGCCCCCTATTTTCTCAAAGGGTTTGTTATTTGCCAAAATAAGTCTTATCTTAGCAAATACTGACTCCGCCCACCCGGCCTCTATTTTCTTCAAAGATATATCATTTGTCAAAATGCTAGTATTTGCTAAGAAAAAACTGGTTTTAGCAGATGCCATACCCTCTAAGAAAATTGAGGGCGGGTGGGCGGGACAAGTCCTTGATAAAGTAAGACTAATTTTGGCAAATGACATATCCTCTGAGAAAATACGTGCTAATGCAAGCATTAGAACCGCCCACCCACCCCCTCTTTTCTTACAGGGTATGTTATTTGCGAAAATAAGTCTTATCTTACCAAGTATTAACCCCGCCCACCCGCCCCCTGTTTTCTCAGAAGGTATGTTATTTGCCAAAATAAATGTTATGTTACCAAGTACTAGCCCCGCCCACCCGCCCCCTGTTTTCTCAGAGGATATGTGATTTGCCAAAATAAATCTTATCTTAGCAAGTACTAGCCGTGTTGACCCGCCCTCTATTTTCTTAAAAGTTTTATCATTTGCCAAAATGGTAGTATTTGCTAAGATAAGACTGATTTTGGCGAATGACAAATCCTATGAGAAAATACTTGCTAATGCATTAGCCACTCCCACCCGCCCCCTCTTTTCTTACAGGGTATGTTATTTGCCAAAATAAGTCTTATCTTACCAAGTACTAACCCCGCCCACCCGCCCCCTATTTTCTCAGAGCATACGTGATTTGCCAAAATAATTCTTATCTTAGCAATTACTAGCCCCGCCCACCCGCCCTCTATTTTCTTCAAAGGTATATATCATTTGCCAAGATGCTAGTATTTGCTAAAGATACGACTGATTTTGGCGAATGACATCTTCTGAGAAAATAGGGGGTGGGTGGGCGGTTCTAGTACTTGCCAAGATAAGACTGATTTTGGCAAATGCCATACGCGATAAGAAAATTGAGGGCGGGTGGGCGGGACTACTCCTTGCCAAGACAAGACTAATTTTGACAAATGACATATGCTAATTTCAGTTGATTTGTACTATTGGTTTTCAAGATGTTTAACCGTTTCCATATATTCTAGCGACCCTGTAGTAAGCTTTCAACTTTTACTTATAATGATCGGCACTCTCGATTATTTTTAGACTTATGTTATACTTTTTTTGTCGAATTATGTCTGCACTGGGTAAATTTTTAGTTTTATCAAATTTATGCAGAGAAAAAACTCTTTTACATGTTAATTTATGGCTACTTTTTGTCCACTTTTATAAAGTGTGTTCAATAAAGATTACATCGGGTCATGTAACGTCAGGTTAAGTCAGTTCTATGTTTCATAAAAAATAAAATTCGCAAAATCAAGTTTTATTGTACTTCAATGGCGAGGGAATAATAATGAGAGAGAGGAAAAATAGATAATGAAATTCCTTCAGTTAACTTATTAACTAAACAAAAATATTTTATTATTGTGTCGTATTTACTGCTAGCGGCTACTAGCCCCTCCCACCCACCCCCTGTTGTCTTAGTGGGTATCGAATTTGCCAAAATCGGTCTTATTTTAGCAGGTACTAGTCCCACCCAACCGCCCTCTCTGTTCTTAGAAGGTATGTCATTTGACAAAATCACTTTTACCTTAGCAGGTGTTGCCAATTTTACTTTTATAAAATTACGTTTTTTTCGTAATCTACATCATAATTTTTTTTTATTTTTTTGGAACCCCCGTACATAACCTACTAACGAGTTAATCCGCCATTTTAAAGACACCCGGTATGTATAAAAGGCAATGTCTCGATAGGCTGACCTATCAACCCTCAGCGCAAACCGCTAATGATAGAAATTTGAAATTTGGAGAGGATGTTCATTTTATACTGGAGGCATCTTGTTTAAGAAGGAATTTCTCGAAATTCATCCCCTAAATAGATGAAAAGGGGTGGTAAAATTTGTAAAAAATGTTCTTCCGGAAATTCTAAACTCAAATGATTTCTCAATTTTTTTTTTAGTAATATTTGAGAAAAATTTGTTACAAATCATTTAATATCAACACGGGTAGATCCAATAGAATTAGCGCGAAGAAACATAACACCTTCAAATTCGATTTTCAACTTCAGGGAATTCTCTTTCAATGAAGTTGGAGATATAATTGACAATATGAATCGAAAAACTCATACATAAATATATCACTCAGAATCATAATGTTTTCCTGAGTGGCTTAAAAATATCCAAAGTTATACCTGTACACACAAAAGGCAATGTAAATGATATTAACAATTATAGATCCATTTCTATTTATACAAGTAACTAAATATATTGATAACCAAAATATCTTGAACCAACGACAGTTTGGTTTTCAGACTGAGAAAAGTACAATTTTAGCCTTTATCATTACTTGCTTCGAAAACAAAGACTATTTAGAATGTACGTTTTGCGATTTATCAAAAGCCTTTGATTGTTTAATTCACGACATTTTGATAAAAAGGTTACAGATGTATGGATTTTCTGATACAGCGCTAGTTTTTCTATAGTTATTTAGATGATAGAAAACAAGTTCTTTGGTTTAACAATGTGTGGCCAAAAATTAGCACGGTTTGAACAAAATTGGAGTACCACAGAGATCACTACTGGATCCGTCGCTTTTTTTGCTGTTCATTAATGATTTACGAAAACACCTAAGTAATAATTTAATACTCTTTGCTTTGCTGAAAACAAAAAAATGATATTCGCACTACGCTTGATTTCAGAAGTTGAAAATGTAGGATGTAATTTCCAATTTTAACTTGTATTCTTCCCATTTTAATTTTCAATTGTACGTCTGTATAGCAGAACGACTTATGTACCTTCCTTACTGGTCATCAGTAAAAAAAAACCTTGTATAGGACCAATATTTCTACTGTAAATTTACATTTTTACGCAAAAGTTGGTATTAATGTTCTTCAGACAAACAATGAAACACGAATTTTAGCATTTTCCGAGATTCAAACCCACGGGGGTGAAAAGTGGTGGCTAAGTTTGGATGGGAGGAATATTTCTGCTGTAAATTTAAATTTTGACGTGAAACGTGGTATTAATGCTTTTCAACAGAAATAATTAAAACCGTATTTAAGCATTTGCCAAGGCGATAAAATGTGGTGGCTAAGTTTGTGTGGCAAACATATTTCAATTGTAAATTTAAATTTTTATCTGAAACTTGGTATTAAATAATGCTCTTCGGGACAAATAATGAAACACGTATTTTAGTATTTTCCGAGATTCAACCCCTAAGGGGGTGAAAAGTGGTGCCGAACTTTGTATGGGAAAATATTTCTATTGTAAAGTTAAATTTTTACGTAAAACTTGGTACTCATGCTTTTCAGTGCAAATAATGAAACACGAATTTAAGGTTTTTCCGAAATTCAATCCCTAATTAGGGTGAGTGGTGGCTAAGTTTGTACAGGAAAATTATTTCTATTGTAAATTTTTGCTTGGTATTTATACTTTTCAAAACAAAGAATGAAACACGTATTTCAGATTTTTTCAAGATTCCACCCCGAAAGAAGATGAAAGGGGGTGACAAAGTTTGTATGAGGAAACATATTTCTACGGCGATTGTTACTTGAAACATGGTAATAATGTTCTTCAATTCAACGAATCGTTTATGTGAACGAAAAACCAGTTAATAATATAAGTAAAATTTGGGAGAAAAATTGAAAAAAAAGTCATATTTTTCTGCTGTACGAAAAATCGAAAGGAAAAAATTGTCTGAATATACACACATAAAAAAAAAATAAATATAAAATATGAGGATAACCAAAAAAACGTCAAAAAAATGTTTGATAAAAAAATAATACAAAATTACCGATCAAAATGAATTTTTTCATAAAAGATGAAAACAATGTTAAAAATAACAACACCCAATTTAAAATGAATGCAAATTTCTAACCTTTAGGCTTCTTCTGCTACAATTTAGCGAATTCCCTCGTCTTCATTTTTTTATGTGAAACTTGGTATTCTTGCTTTTCAACACAAATAATGAAACACGCATTTAAGCTTTTTCCGCGATTCAATATCTAAAGGGGTCAAAAGTGGTGACTAATTTTGTATGGGAATAATATTTCGATTGTAAATTTTTATGTGGAACTTGGTATTTGTACTTTTAAAACAAAGAATAAAACACGTATTTCAAATTTTTTTAAGATTCCACCCCTAGGAGATGAAAAGGGGTTGACAAAGTTTGTATGAGGAAAAATATTTCTACGGTGTATTTTACTTGAAACATGGTATAATGCTCTTCAATTCAACGAAAACTAGTTAATAATATATAATTACATATTCTTGGGAGAAAAATTGAAAAAAAAGTCATATTTTTCTGCTGTACGAAAAATCGAAAGGAAAAAATTGCCTGAACATAAGCACATAAAGAAAACAAAAACAAAAAAATTAAATATAAAATATGTAACCAAAAAAACGTCAAAAAATGTTTGGTGAAAAAACAAGACAAAATTACAGAACAATTTTTTTTTGATAAAAGATGAAAAAAATTTGAAAAGAACAACACCCAATTTAAAATTAATGCAAAATTCTAACCTTTAGGCTTCTTCTTCTGCTACAATTTAGCGAATTCCCTCGTCTTCATTTACGAACCCACTGTAACAAAAAACAGGTGAAATTAAAAGAGGTAGATAAGATTAAAAAAAAAAAGTAATTAGAAAAACTTTTGAAATCGAAATATAAATTCTAAGCTTATTTCGGCTGAACTTACCTTGCCCCTGAAGCAAATCCCGCCTCTATGAAAAATTATGAAATTTGATTTTGCGTTTTCTGTTTTGTGATAACCTCTGTAAAATAAAAACCAATGGCGTAAATAACATCCCCCGCAGCCCCTGATCTGTCAACTGCGATGGAAGAAAATGTATTTAAACCAGATAACCAACGGGAAAATGAAATCTTAGTAATTACACGATTAACTTCAAGTATTTGTTTATACTTCGAAAGAATTCGACTAAGAAAATGAAATTTGACTGAAGGGGGAACGCTAGACGAGAGACAAGTTTGAATTAGGCGCCAAAATTAAACAATTTAAAAATCGAAGAATTGGAAAACCAAAAAATCTAAACCGAGAACTTGAAAAATCGAATAATCGAGAAATCAAAACATCAAGGAAAACAAAAAAAATAACGGAAAATCTAGAACTTAAAAATTGAAAAATTAAAATACCTATCGAAAAATTGAAAAACCGAGAAATCGAAACATCAAAAAATGGAAAAATTGAAGAACCGAAACATTGCAAAATCTCAGAACTGAAATACTGAAAAACTGAAAAATGGAAGGAAAATTGAAAAATCGAAAAAGTGAAAAAATTCAAAACTGAAAAATTGAAAAATCACAATTGAAGAAAGAATTGAAAAATCAAGAAATAGAGAAATGGGAAAATCAAAAAATCAGTTAATCGAAAAATTGAAAAATCGAAAAATTTAGAAACGTCAAAAATTGAAAAATTTAAATATCGTAAAACTGAAATATCGGAAAATTGAGAAATCGAAAAATGAAGAAATTCGAGAAACCGAAAATATGAAGAATCGAGAAATCGAACAATCGATAAATTGAAAAATCCCAATAGTAGTAGTATGTCCAAAAATTGAGAAATCGAAATCGAGCAAAACTGAAGTATCGTAAAGTTAATAAATTGAAAAACTGAAAATTTTTGAAAAAAAAAACATCCTATCAAAAACTAAAAATTCAAAAAATCAAAACATTGAAATGCCAGTAAGTTGATAAATAGGAAAATTTAAAAAACAAAAATTTTAAAAATCCAAGAATTGAACAACAAAAAAAATCTAAACCTGAAAACTTAGAAAATTGAATGATCGTGAACAAAAAATCTAAAATTTAAAAATTCGACAAATTGAAAAATCATGGAACTGAAAAATCGAAAAGTCGAGATAGTGAGAAATCTAAAAGCCTAAAACTTTAAAAACTGAAAAATTAAAATATCGAAAAATTTAAAAACCGAGAAAACACAATATCAAAAATTTGAAAAATTGAAGAAACGAAATATTGCAAAATTCCAAAGCTGAAATATTGAAAAACCTAAAAATGGAAGGAAAATTAAAGAATCGAAACAGTGAAAAAATCCCAAACTGAAACACTGAAAAATTGAGAAATGGAACAATCAAAAAAATTAGTCTAAAAAGTTTGGACAGTACTTCCCTCGCTATCGGAAACCTGACGACTGCATGCCTATTATGTTTTTTTTCACATTAGATTTCAAAGCATTCGGCTTTGTAGTTCCTGATTAAATCAATAAAATAAATTTGCGCATTCATTAACTTTTTTGAGCCACCCTATATATCCGAATTCAAAAAATATGAATAGGATGATAAATTACAAGAAGAGACTCATCATATTTTGTACATTTTAGGTAGGATTTATTCAGCAAAATTTTGAGATGACGTCATAAATTTTTTAGAGGGGATAAGTAAATATATTGTGATTAAAACGGTCCTAGTTTAATAACAAAAAAATATTGTTCGTCTATGAAACAAGCTCGTCTTAGACAAAGTATTCGTAAAAAAAATATGTCGTAAAAAAATGTACGTATGCTGGTCCCGACTGCGATTATGGTTTAAATATTTTCTAGAAAATCCTGTCATGGATGTAGAAACATTTGTGACAGCCAAAGAGGTTTTTTTTGAGAAAATTATCTTTGAATTTAGACCAAATTGAAATAGACAGTAGGCAACAGGCACATTTGGGCAAAAGAAAGAGAAATTAGGGTTACGGCTTCAAATTTTGGACGTATTTACAAACTTAGACCGACTACAGCAATAGCTAAAACTGTGGAGTCTCTGTTGTACAGTACATTTAGAGGTAATAGTCATACATACTATGGACAGCAAAGTGAGGAAAAAGCTGTCAAGTGTTTTGAAATAAATAAAAATATAAAAACTGAACGGTGTGGCTTGTTGATTTCAAAACAATTTCCTTACTTGGCTGCTAGTCGAGACAGGGTTCTAGAGGATAGGAGTGCATTAGTCGAAATTAAATGCCCTTCAAAATCGCAAGATTTGTCTCGCGAAGAAGTGGTTAGAAAAAAAATAATCGAATTTTGTACATTGACAGATAGAGAATTGAAACTAAAAAAAATCCTGATTACTACTTTCAAGTCCAGGGACAAATGCTTGTTACGGGTATTTCACCAGTTTATTTTGTTGTGTGAACACCCAAAGGAATAAATATAGAAAAAATTTATAAAGACGAAGAAATATGTAAAAAGATGGCAGATAAATTTGGCAGATTTTACTTTGGCGCATTATTGCCCGAAATAATTGATTCAAGAAGAAAGAGGAACCTGCCTTTGCGAGAGATTTTTTTTAAATAAATAAAATTTGTTTCTATTTTTTATGTACTTTAATAATTTATTAGGAGTACATTTTTCATCACCAAGACTTGTATATTTTTATTATAAATATATTTTGAAAATGATCTCTCGGCAAATGAAAACATATACGAGCCTCCTTTCTGGGATAGGTAGTAGATACACTTAGCTACTTATACGTGTTAAACAAAAGCTGTATTTTATATATTTTTTATTATTATTATAAATATGTTTATTGGTTTTATTAATTAACAAAGCAAAATATATATTAACAATAATACTACAATGAATTTTTAGTAATCATGTGTATTGAATTCAGGATCCTGAGTGGAGTAAAAATATTATAGTTCCCCAGTTTTAATTCGGTTTTATGATAGTACCTCATTGCGTAAAAGTTAATTTCCTTAACAATAGATTACTACGGCCGGTCCTGGCGGCTTATTATAAAACTGAGTTCCTTGCCATAAATTAGAAAAATCAGCCGAGAACTCTAACAATCAGCTTATGGTCGAGCAGGCGATAAGGGTTTTACCTGGAAAGTCGCTTCCGTAAATTTTAGTGGCGCTCCTATCGGCAAAGTACTGAACTAACTGCTCAAATTCTGTCGAATTGATACCCCTTTTTTCAATAATTGTTAGTTTTTATTAAAAACTCTGCTAACCAATACATCATTAATTTTCCTCTGATATTCCTGTTAAAATTATTCGACGTATTTTGCATTAATGTGTGATATATTTTGATTTTAATAAACACATTATTATTTAAACAAATTGTACCACTAACAAATATTTAATGACTCTGCGCCCTGTAAAAAGTGATTTTTTATCCATGTGCGAATTTCCAAGCGATTCTATGATGGTTATGACTCAAAAAACTGAAAAGAAAACATACAATGGTGCTTTTTTTACGATATTTCTCAGCCATATTTTTTTAACTGATTGAACTGGTTTCTGCGCTCTAGAATATGAAAAAAGCTGCAGTTTGATGTATGATACATCTATATTAATATCATTTTTTCATACAAAAACCCAAAAAAATGTTATACCTCGTCTAGCGAGGTATTCTAAATCGAAAATATCGAACCAAAAGTTACTTATAATTTTAGTAACAATTTTCTCGCTCTTTCCAGGCTCACTCCATCCGCCCGGCGGCACAAGAACATGTCCTTCGCCATCCTGGCCGATCCCACCAGCGCCCCCGGCTCCCGCAGCCCGTCTCCAACCGGCCGCGTTAGCCCCTTCCGAGGCCGGGGCTTCAACCCCGCCGGGTCGCGGCACGCCTCCCCGGCCCCATCGCCACCCCCCGAGGCCTTCAGCCCCTTCAGCGACTCGCCGCACCACTCCAAGATCCCCCGGCTGTCCCGCCGCGGCAGCGCCACCGCCTTCGGCGAGAAAATCACCGACTACCAATCGTCGCCCAACCGGAGAAAGCTAAACTCGCAACTTAGCCAAAGCCTGACCAACATCGCGCCCCCGCGGGTCTCCGGGCGGCCGCCCCCCAGCCCGCGGCGGACCACAGGGTACTCCAAGGTGGCGTTCCAGCGCCTGTCGCCCATCGCGGGCAGTTCGCCGGAGCCAAGTCAATCCCAGTCTTCCCCAAAAGTCAGTAGCTCTAGTAATCAGCAAGCAAATAGGTTCGCTTCGCCGGGTCGCAGCCGGAGCTTCGTGAATCGGCCGCCTGTGAAAGCGGGGCTCAAAGCGGGGTCGAGGAACGTGAGTCGGGAGCCGAGTCCCGGGAAGAATCCGACGTCTCCGACGAGGATCCCGGTGAAGAGTTACAGGAACGTGCAAGCGAAAGTTAATAGTTTTAGTAGGACTAAACCGAAAGTGCCTCCTAAACCACAAGTGCTTAGTGAAGAGACGACGGAAGAGTCGGATGTAGGGACCGCCCGAAGGAGAGTCGGGAGGAGGGACAGCGTCGTGTCGAGGCCGAATTCCAGAGGGAACCTAAACGCCAACACTAACAATAAGAACAATAATAGTAGTAAAGGTACGAAGAGCGTTACGAATGGGAACACCCTCAGTACCAAAAACGGTAAACCTAACCCTAAAACTAAAGGTAGTGACGACACCAAGACCCTTCCGATCAAAAAAACAGACCCTAAACCCAGTTCTAAAACCAAAAGTGACAGTGGTGCCACCACCAGCGACAATAACGTCAAAGAATCGAGTGCAAGTGAGGCCAAACTCTCTGAAGAACTGAAAAAGTCTGAGAGCTCCGTCAAACTCTCAGACCTTCTTCAACCATCAACCACAACAGTGGTTTCCACCACGACCACCACGGTAACCCAACCTTTGAAAATCGAGGCGAAAATCGACCCAGAAGCATCCATCGACAATAAAACCATCGCCCCTATGGTGGACGGACGGGTTCTAAGTGCAACAAGTGTATCCAACGCAATGAACAAAATGAACGACACTGTCATAAACTCGCAGACACTGATGAAGGAAACAGGTTTGACGAAACTATCACCAGCTGCCAGTACCATCATCTCCATGTCCAAAGACGACAAACCCGCGAATCCAGCTTTAGATACGAAAAACGCAACCACCGCGTTACCAACCGTGGAGGAAGCCCCCAGTAAAACCATCGACAACGTCAATAGCAACCACGTCACCTCCACCGGAATCCTCCCATCGGCCCGGGTTCTGGAAGAGCACGTCCAGAACAACATGAGCAAACTAGCTCCAGAGACCAAGCTCGCCAATTCCATCCCGAAGAGCGCCAATGACAGGATTCTGGAGGCTCGGACCGTGGTGGCCCACGACGTCAAACCCATCAAGATCACGGTGAAGGAGAAACCCATGGACGTAGAGGTCCAGAGCGGGAACATCAGGTTCGACACCGCCAATGGGCTGAATGAGAGACCGGGGTGAGTTTAGCCTTGGCAAAGAAAAAGGGATCATATTTCACGTTGTGCTACTTTAAATTGGCTTGTTAAGAAGGAGGTTGCAAATTGTAGAGTGTTTGTAATACGGTGTTGTTTAATTAAAAATAATTAACAAGTACATTCCGGTGTAAATGATATCGTCGCATGGGTTAATTTTAGTTCATATTTGGGTTAGTGGTCCAGTCGAGTAAATCTATATTTTGGGCGAGGAATTTGTGCGTGTGAGAAAAGTTGATGGTCTTTATTGTGCGGGTATTGAAAGTTCAAGGGTCAGGTGTGAGGTTGATGATTGGCAAATGAGGCGGGACGGAATTAATGCGACTGAGATAAACGAGCTTTTTGGTAATAAATGCAAAAGGAATAATTAAGATAAACGAAATATGAAGCATGTTGGTACATTCGTTGCGTTGTCGAAATTTTTTTTATTTCGTATTTCGCGTTTTTTCAATGTGTTACTTTCAAGAAGTAATATAAAAACAATCAAAATTTTGATTTAGTGTTATTAAGATATCTCAACCTCACCCTTTTATTTCTTACTCATTCGTCATTTCTATTAAGAGAGTTTCCGCGGAAATATTGTTTCCGGATTGTTATCAGGTTTCAATCTCTAAAAAATTACATGTTTCAGAACATGAGTTCATACCATTTAAGCACGAAAAACTATTTTAAACTTAAATATTATTATAGTTAATGAATTTCTAAACAACGTGGCATGCATGTGTAGCCTTGCATTTTTCACAACAAAACCTACTTCGATTTTAGACAGTTTTCTTTATAGAACACACTTTTAATTATATGCACGATTTTTAGTTATTTCTTTCCATAAAGCTGCATTTTCCTATTTTTTTTTTTAATCACTTTGAAATGCCAAATAGGTGCAGAAGCAATTCTAGAGAAAATTTGACAGTTGACATTTTATATTTAATATAGATTAAATATGAAGTCCATCAAAACTGAATAGTGACAGTTAGTTTTGTTAACAAGAAATTGGCCAGCATCTGCGTTAAATACTCTAACCCTTTTTGTAAATATTTTCAAATCGTTTAGTTGTTTAAATAGCTCTCATCGTTTGAAGTTAATTTTCTTCCAACAGAAAGACATCGAAACGATATAAGTATATACAGGGTGAGCTAAAGGGAGACATCTAATTTTTTTTTTATTTTCTATGTTGTTTGAGTAACCACTAGATACATTGTAAAAAAATACCACGTATTTAAGAAAAAAAAAAGCTGTTGCTATATTATAATAATTTATAAATGATTGTTAAATACTGGTAACAAATTAATAAGCTTTTACAATTATTTAGAACTATTTCATGTGTATTACATACGGAACAAATTTATTATTAATAATTATATGTATACAGGATGAGCCAAACAGCACACGTTCCCCAATATCTCACTAATTATTAGAAATACCAAAAGAGCACTAAAAAATACGATCAAAAATAGCCATAGATTTTTAAAAATTTGTCTCTGATAGTTGCATTTTCAACTTAAATCGTCAAATTGACGGTAATTTGACAAGACGAAAATTCTGCCAAACACAAATCTTCAAAAATTTATCGCTGTTTTTGATTGTGTTTTTTTTTGCTCTCTCGATATAAAAGTTAGTTAGTTTTTTAAATAGAAGATCCTAAATATCCGATATAATTTTAGATATTCATATATATCTCCTCCTAGGATTTATAACTACGGTTTATTTTTGAAACACGGATTCAACGTTGCCACGTTATTTTCTTGAAATTAGATTTTTGTTTTGTAATGAAAAGAATAAATTGTTACAGTTTTCAAATATTTAGAGTTGAATTTTTTACATTTTTAACATTTAAAAACAGAGTACGATGCAGTAATAAATACAGGGTGTTCTATATTTGATAAAACGGAATATCGATAATTGAAAAACACTCTGTATATTAGAGTGTGATTAAATTGACACCTCAAAAAAGTGTGTATTTCTAGTTGTCTCTTCATGAAGTATTGCAAAATAAATGAAAACTGAAAAGTTGGAAAATCCAAAAATTAAACACTGAGAAATCGAAAAATTAGAAAAATTAAAAATCGAGGAACTGGAAATTGAAAAACTGAAAAATCGGATATTTGAAAAATTCAAACATTGAAAAATAAAGAAATTAAATTAAATACTTGGGAATAGTAAATCTACTGAATGAAATATAGAAACGAAAAATAAAAAAATCGAACATCTATAAAAAATGCAATTCGAAAAATTGAGGAACTGAAAAGTGAAAAATCATTACCTGAAAAATTTTACTTTACGGCCGATAAATTTTAAATCGACGAGTAGAAAATCGAAAAATTAAGAAAACGAAAAATCGATATCTAGAAATTCAAAAATTGAAAAAATGCAAAATCTAATAATTGTGAATCGAAGAACGGAATAAATAAAATTACAAACACTCAAAAATTCGAAAAGCTGTAAAACAGAAAAAATATATAAATTTGAAAAATCAAAAAATGAAAAATTGGAAAAACGAAAAATTAAAATCGAGAAACGGAAAACTGCGAATCGAAAAATTCAAAAATCGAAAACTTGAAAAATTCAAACCTTGAAAAATAAAAAAATTAAATTAAACACTTCAAAATTGTAAATCAATACATTGAAAAAATTGAAAAACTGAAAAATTGGGAAAACGAAAAATTAAAAAACCGTAAAACTATTAAATGCAAATGGAAAATTGAGGAACTGAAAACTGGAAAATCATTAACTGAAAAATTTTACTTTACGGCCGATAAATTTTAAATCGACGCGTGGAAAATCGAAAAATTAAGAAAACGAAAAATCGATATCTAGAAATTCAAAAATTGAAAAAATGCAAAATCTAATAATTGTGAATCGAAGAACGGAAATAAATAAAATTACAAAAACTCAAAAATTTGAAAAGCTGTAAAGCAGAAAAAATATATAAATTTGGAAAATCAAAAAATGAAAAACTGGAAAAAACGAAAAATTAAAATCGAGAAACGGAAAACTGCGAATCGAAAAATTCAAAAATCGAAAACTTGAAAAATTTAAATGTTGAAAAATAAAAAAAAAAAATTAAATACTTCAAAATTGTAAATCAACACATTTAAAAAATATAAAAACTGAAAAATTGGAAAAACGAAAAATCAAAAAACCGAAAAACTATAAAATGCAAATAGAAAATTGAGGAACTGAAAACTGGAAATCATTAACTGAAAAATTTTACTTTACGGCCGAAAAATTTTAAATCGACGGGTGGAAAATCGAAAAATTAAGAAAACGAAAAATCAAAATAGCTAGAAATTCAAAAATTGAAAAAGTGCAAAATCTAATAATTGTAAATCGAAGAACGGAAATAAATAAAATTACAAAAACTCAAAAATTCGAAAAGCTGTAAAGCAGAAAAAATATATAAATTTGGAAAATCAAAAAATGAAAAATTAAAATCGAGAAATGGAAAACTGCGAATCGAAAAATTGGAAAAACGAAAAATTTAAAAACCGAAAAACTATAAAATGCAAATGGAAAATTGAGGAACTGAAAACTAGAAAATCATTAACTAAAAAATTTTACTTTACGGCCGAAAAATTTTAAATCGACGAGTGGAAAATCGAAAAATTAAGAAAACGAAAAATCGATATCTAGAAATTCAAAATTGAAAAAATGCAAAATCTAATAATTGTAAATCGAAGAATTGAAGAAATGAAATTTTGAAAAAATCAGAAGTTGAAACTGTCGAAAACTCAAAAATCGAGAAAAATTTTTCTAAAAACGAAAAATAAAAATTTGAAAATTTTCGAAATTCGAAAGAAATGTAAAACTGAAAATATTTTGTGAAGAGATAAACCAATATTCACGCTTTGTTGTGATATATAATGCACTAATAAAATACAGGGTGCTCAATTTGAAAAAACTGAAATAATAATGATTTTCGCAAATTGCAACATTTAAAATTTTTTTACAAACTACAGGGTGTTTGTAAAAAAAAACTGAAACAACGCAGATCTTAAAATCAATATCAAACAATTACATTTTTGTGAAGCCTTGCAATTAAAAACGAATAAATACCCAAAACTGAAATATCGAAAAGCTGTGAAGTCGAAAAATCGTATAAAATTGGAAAATCGAAAAATGAAAATTCGAAAAATTCAAATATCAATCAGAAAACTGGAAAAGACAAAAATTAAAAATCGAGAAACAGAAAATTCGAAAAACTAAAGAAATGAAAAACTGAAAAATTGAAAACATTATGAAAAATTCAAAAGTCGAAAAATCGAAAAAATTACACTCAATACTTGAAAATTACCAACCGAATCACCAAAAAACGAGAAATAAAAAAATCCAAAAATTGAAGAAAAATTTTAAAAATTGAAAAATGGAAAAAAATTAGAAATGCTACAATAGAAAAATACAAGATCGAATAATTGAAATCGAAAAATTGCATAAATGTAAAATTGTATTTTACACTTACGTATTTCATGTGTTCCATAAACTGAAATTAGTTGTTTAAAATTTAATTATCACCTAGTTTTATTAGAAATTAAAAATATGAAAAATTCAAGCGTTGAAAAATCGAAAAAAATTAAACTAAGCACTTGAAAATTGCTAACCGAATCACCAAAAAAGTTGAAAAATTAAAAACCGAGAAACTAAAAACCTGAAAAAACCAAAAATTAAGGAATCCAAAAACTGAAGAAAACTTTTAAATCGGAAAAGTGAAAAATGGAATTATTTAGAAATTAAAAAATAGAAAAATGCAAAATCGAATAATTTTAAATCGAAAAACCGAAGAAATGAAGAAATTGAAAATTGAAACATTCTAAAGTTAAAAGATCGAGAAACAAAAAATCGAGAAACTGTCGAAAACTGAAATCGAGAAAAATTGTCAAAACCAAAAATAAGAATTCGAAAATTCTCGAAAAAAACAAAAAATTAAAAAATCAAAAAATTGAAAAATACAAAACCGAATAATTGTAAATCGAAAAACTGAAGCAATGAAG